TAAATTGAATATATTCAAGAATATGATAAAGAAAAACAATATGGGATTCACATTTTATTTTCTTAAAACAATATCCACTATGGCACTAAATTGAATTCCAGGACTGACCATGTGGGATTTGTTAACAGACATTGGGAGTATCTTTTCTTTGAAAAAGGCTACCTTCTATGTTGTTGCGTCCTGTAGCCTGGTAGATGTTCATCGGCGTTTCAGAACGATGATGGAGGCAGCAAGTATACTTCTGAAACGTAGATAAACTTCTACTAGACTGAACGGTCCAACAACCCTGAAGACGGCCATTTTCAAATGGTTTCCGAGTTATGTGGTACTCTATACTACCAGCATAATAAATCTAGCCGAACAAAATAGTAAGAGTTGCTGAATGAAACAGATTGTGATTGGAATTCTGCGTATAATAACAGTCCAAAAGGGTTTCTTAGTCCTTATACATGAGCTCAAATATCGATAGAAATTACAGTATGTAGATGACAATATAGGTATTGTAATAAGCTGCCTGAACAGTTTAACCTGTGAATGGTCAATATACTATTTATAAAATATTACTGTTTAGTATGATAGCCTGGTCAGCTACTCTGCCGCTATATATAATAAATACTTTGGTAGATTATGATGGATGAAAACAGCTTGATTATATCTCAGATTGCTAGCATACACCTATATGTCTTACACTACAGCTGAGGTCCCACCTTAAATGTCTCCACATTATTTGATAGCACCAAGAATTTGAATCTTGTTTGTGAAATGACTTTTTTCACTATTTGTATGATTTATGATTCTTACAAATGTTTTATGTAGTTCCACAAACAATAATAATATTTATTTTATGTAGTGGTCAAAAATGTAGTGAAAGTGACATATTCAAACTCTATTGCCTGTTTTCTTCTTCACTAGATCTATTTTTATCCTAATAAATCATTTGTTAGTGATAATGGAAAGGAACCGGTCATTCTAGTGACCAAGGGCTAGACATTTGGAATTTGATTTCCATGATTTTTCTCCTTCACCTCTGTGTTCAAACAAGCTCTGTCACCCACCCAGCTTCCTATCTAATGGGTACTGGTAGCCCCTTCCCCATGGATCTCCTAGGGCTGAGTTAGTGGAGCTATACCTCCACTACTGCATACATCATGATGCGACGCTTAGTACATACCTGGGAAAATTCTACCTTTGCCTTAATGCATTATTAGCAATATCCTGTCAAATTAAAACTTTTCTATGTACCATTTTTAGTGTCTGCAAAGTCATAAAGACAGCTATTCTGAACATTCACGCAACTGTACCAATGTGTTTATATGCAGCTATTCATGTTAGTTTTCTGGGGTTTAATGCTGTATGGACTTGAAGATAGGAACCAATGTTTCAAGTATACATACTGTCTCAGCTCCGACAGGGGAGACAGTATGTGTCTGAAACGACGATATCTACAGTCCACAGACCAGGAGAAAAGCCCTGCTAGGAATTCGATATACGCACATGTGCAAGATTTCGCAGTGACGACCCATCCTAAAAGCATTCCACAACCACTGAGCAAACAACAGGCTTTCATGTGTTTTAATGGGTATAGCTTTAAGATTACCTCACAGTGGCACAGTGATTTAATCTAGAATATTTTTACAACATCCACAGAACACATTAGAAGTGCACTCACTACACACTACTCTTACCTGCTTGATGTTTTCCACTTCCCACCTATAGCAGCCCTCTAGTCCACCTGATAAGAAATATTCCCCCTGCAGGGCTTTTCTCCTGGTCCGTGGACAGTACCTACAACTCAACATGTCATTACAACCGAGAAGACCTAAATCAACATCTTCTTCACTGTCAGAACATCATTTAGTCCTATTCAAACATTACACGATAGCTACTGGCTTGTGAGCTGTCTTGAGCAACCAAGCCTGTTCTACCGGACTACAACACAAGTTACAAACACGTCTATAATGTCTGATAGATGAGGTAGTAATGATCAATGATGGTAACCCATAATAATGGACATAATGCAGCCTACATTACAGGAGGGTGGGAGATGTGTCCACTGTTTTCAGATGTTGCAAGGTTCATCATGGATTCCAATGAAGAGTCATCCAGCTATTAGATTATCCTTTGCAGGCATGTTACCTACCCTCAAACCATCTGATCCATTGATCAGTGTTGTTTGTGAAACAAGAAGATATATTTCTGTGTTCACAAGAATCTACATATCAGAGCCAGTCCGTATCCTTGCAACCTAGAATAGAAGAGAATTTATTTACATTCCACAGGTCCTTTATAGCACCAAGCCAAGAATATGGAACATGTCATAATACTAACAAACTAGATGGCTTACTGAACCCAAAGGTTCATCACCGAATTAATCAAAGCCCTCCACCAGACCCTGTCCTGGGCCAACAAAATCCAGTCTCCTTCAACTCCTATCTCCCATAGATCCTGCTTGATATCCTCCCATCTACGTTTATGTCTCATGTCATAATACAAATTACATAATTAACACCAACATCAATTCAAACACAGTCGTAACAGACACCTTTTAATAATGTTGTGTTATACATAGCAAAATAATTATGTCAAAGAAAAGATGTTCTTCATAAGTATTTAGAATACCTAAGAACTCGCAACTAAAGTAAATTCTTCACAGTGTAAGGACCATTTTAATATTATCATTCCATTTATGCCTAGGCCTGTGGCTTAGGTTGTATCAATCTGTTATCATTCTTTTTACTGTGATATTAATGATCAGCTACTGTAGAGTTCATCTTCACTCATGACTATGACAGATTCTAACAGAACTGTCCATGTTCAAGATAGATGTCTTATAGGACAGTAATATCTGACCCACCTCTGAAGAAGATACTAGTGTTGTCACTTTTAGATAAGACAAAACAAATTTGTTATAATTAAATCAATTATTATAGTACAGTGAATACTTATATTTCTAATTTGGGTTTATTTGTATAACTTGGATACCATGCCCTTCGTATAAATCAAATATGCACCACCAGTCACATACACACAATGCACGTGAGATCTTTCAATGGATGATGCAATAAGCCACTACAAACTCCCTCCATAATGACAGGCTAGCAGTGTCACTTGATGAAACAATCATTTTTCACTAAGCAATAACTTTAAAAGCCAAAAGATAGAAGTAAAATTAGTTTTGTGCTTATGCCTCAAGCCACCAAGGCTTATAGGAGGTAGGAGATAATGCTCAGTGACTTTCAGACCTTGGTACTCCAACAGTTTTAATCTCAACAGGGTAGGAATACCAGGGACAAACAACAATTAAAGTAATTCAATGTAAAAAGCCACATGATTTGGCACCACTGTACATAATGAATGCAACATGACTAGAAAACAGTTATATCAGAGATACAACAAAGTATCAGAATGTCAAACTCAAGTTAATCTGTTTTATCATTATCTTCTTATATAAGAATATTCTTACATTCTTTAACATTTGTATGAAAGGAACAACAAATCTAAAACCTGTGACAGATGGCCAAGCACTTTGTTTTCACAACTTGGGGTATCTCCCCTCTCTGACCCTCATCCTTCTCCTGTAAGGAAATGCCATTAGTTCTATGGTAAGCTGAGCTGCAAGACTGTACTCACACTGGATCATATGATAGGTTTACTCTGCACTGCAAAATTACTGTGCTCACTACTGGTTTCTGTACAAATCACTCACTTGTGGTCATTTTGACAACAGTGTAAGTGAAAAGTAATGGCCAGCAGAACAGATGTATGGCTTAACAGAAACGGAGGCGATTTTTCTCAAGAGCAGTGGAAGTAGAATATGTACTATAGTTCACAAATTTTTTGAGGTTTCAGATCTGTTGGTCATGCTGTACATACATACTTTCCAAAATTGCCATGAAACATAAAGCTGATACATTAAAACAAACATAACCAGTGCTCATATTATGACAATAAATGTTCCATTGGCACTTCAATATGTATTATGTACTGTACAATCCTTATTGAAACATACATTTTTAAGGCACTCCATTACAAGTTTCATCACATTAAACAGAACATAAATGCAAATATAACAATTTCATTATTCAGAAACTCCAGTCTTATTTTGAATTAACTTTATATATTAAAAACAACCTAGGAACAAAATAACACATACTACAAAGTATAAAATTAATACCTGTTCCAGCAGGCTCACCTCAGTAAAAAGAGCTACTTCACTTACCAAATAAACATACTCAACTTTTTCAGCACTACCATTTCCTTATACACAAATTTATTTTACAGCATTCTTATACTGTGGGAGCAATATAAACCTACATACAAAGATGGGACTGCTGAAAATAACTGTGCACACAAGTCTTACAAACTTATATATATAACCCTCAATTAGTGGAGTATAAAAATGACTGAAGTACCATAAATATCACTTAGTCCTTTAATATTTATCATGACTTTGGTTTCAGTCCAATTACTTATGTTATCCTTTTAAAGTGTCATTTAATACACATCACTCATACATCTCCCTGTGAATAAGATAATCATGCTAATACTTTTGAATTGTTATCAGTAATACATGAATGTATTCCCCATAATATATTAGACAAATTAAATATTTTATTAGAGAAATATGAATCTGAGTTACACAATCTCTGCTTCTCTTTGTCATAACTAATTTAACTCCTAAATCTCCAAGAATAAAATGTAAACTTACGTAATGCCCAAAAATCATTCACACATAATAC